GTGAACTTTATGGCGGACAAGGCTGGACAAGCTGTTATAAAGAACTTTGTGTGTGCAAAACGAAATTTGGCTAGAGCTATGTTAAAGCTATGTAAAATGTATGTGCTTGATAATTTGGTGAAACAAATAGCTAAAAGCAAAAGGGAGGTGCTGGATATTTTCCTTACGGCAAAGACGCACAAACCAAGCATAATTTCGTTCAGGGCGATTAAGCGAAAAAAAATCTTGGGAAAGTAACGTCAGCCGTTTTCTGACAAAAAAGCTTAACTGGCTTAGGGTTAGTGATCTGTTCCTGATCAAGAAATCCGAAAATTGGATTTAGTGCCAGCAGGATAACCATAATATTGGTTTTGCATTCTCATTAGACATTCAGGATTTACTTTATTGCAGTGCCGCATGATGCTCGTTTTAAGGCAGTGATGACCTGTATTGATGATCGCGGAATAATTACTTTCAAGGTTCAGTTTGCATGCTTGTAGATAGGTTTCTATCATTGCTGGAAGCCTATCTTGCCTCCACCTTTGTGTCACATGAGGGTAAAATTTATAGCGTCAAGGAATTTTGTATCGGGTCATGTGTTGCTCCTTTGCTGTGCAACAGGTTTCTTTCACAGGCTGACAAAGCACTGGAGCAAATTTTTAGCAATGAAATTGTTTTTTTTGAAGTTTTTAGATGCGTAGACTATTTGTGAGTTGAGTTCAATAAACTTTATTTGTACAACGGTTGTTGCTGTGCCCGGGGCCTGGCTGCCAAGGACACATCGTTCAAGGAACATCTTCCGATGTCTTCGGCGACGGCCCTGGCCCGCTGGACGGCCCACACCTGGTATTCGAGGGTCTCACTAAGAAGGGCAGCTTCCGAAATAGCAAGGCGCCCTCCGAAATGGGGCGCCTTGCTATTTTATGAAGTTACTAAAAAAAAAAAACGGGATGATTTCACGAACCAAGTAATAGTGAAAAAGTTTTTAGAGACTTTTCGACAGGGCAGTCAAGGCCTGTCCTTTACGCATGAGCTGCTTGACAATAGAATCCTGCAGTTTTTAGATTCAAAACTAACCCTTTGTGACAATCATGTTTAATGGTGTTTTTTCCCTCCGTGCGAAGAAGGACTTTTTACCCCTTTGGTTCGGCCCACTCAAAAACCGTGAAAAGGGGCATTGCAATGCTTTCCCTGGGATCCGAACTTCGGAATTCCTGTCTGCATCTTATACAGTCTTGTTTTAGTGCACAATTAGACCGTTGGAAGTGCGCCGGGTTCCCTTGCTCGATTTTGTATGTGGTTGCAGATTTCCTTCTGTAGAAAGTAAAAAAAAAAAAAGGCCTGGTTGAAGCACGAAAGGGTAACGAACGACCGGAGGTGGTACTTTGTATTCATATGGTTGCACTCAACGTGAAAAATAGTGCCCCGCCGTGGTAGTCTAGTGCCTATAAGGTACTTGGCTGCTGACCTGCAGGTCGCGGGATCGAATCACGGCTGTGGCGGCTGCATTTTCGATGGAGGCGAAAATGTTGTAGGCCTGTGTGTTCAGATTTGAGGTGCCCGTTAAAGAAGCCCAGGTGGTCGAAATTTCCGTAGTGCTCTACTACGGCGTGTCTCATAATCATACGGTGGTTTTGGGACGATAAACCCCACATATCTATCTATCTATCTATCTATCTATCTATCTATCTATCTATCTATCTATCTATCTATCTATCTATCTATCTATCTATCTATCTATCTATCTATCTATCTATCTATCTATCTATCTATCTATCTATCTATCTATCTATCTATCTATCTATCTATCTATCTATCTATCTATCTATCTATCTATCTATCTATCTATCTATCTATCTATCTATCTATCTATCTATCTATCTATCTATCTATCTGTCTATCTATCTATCTATCTGTCTGTCTGTCTGTCTGTCTGTCTGTCTGTCTGTCTGTCTGTCTGTCTGTCTATCTGTCTGTCTGTCTGTCTATCTATCTATCTATCTGTCTATCTATCTGTCTGTCTGTCTGTCTGTCTGTCTGTCTGTCTGTCTGTCTGTCTGTCTGTCTGTCTGTCTGTCTGTCTGTCTGTCTGTCTGTCTGTCTGTCTGTCTGTCTGTCTGTCTGTCTGTCTGTCTGTCTGTCTGTCTGTCTGTCTGTCTGTCTAAAAAAAGGTGTCGAGTCGCCCCCCCCCCCCCCCCAAACAAACGTAGTGCTCAACAGCCTGCAAAAAGAAGCATGTGCTGCAGTTCACGAAGTGCGCCACTGGAGTGGTTTACGAAATACCCCTATTTTGTGCGGGAAGAGCCATGTTGGCCACACGGGCCGCTGCGTCAATGATCGAGCGAGGGAACACGCTCTCGCGGTATAGAATAAGGATGGTGCGCATTTAAGCGCGCATGTAACTTCTTGTGTATGCACACCACGCTTCACGCAGATGAGGATTCTGGGAAGGAGTAAAAGCAAGTTGGCACAGGAAATTTCGGAGGCCTTTCACATAAAAACGGGGTATTTATTGTGTTAGCGAAATGTCACTCAACTTGTATGAGTCAGAAGCACGTTATCTGGAGAGCATGCGTCCGATAGAGTGATTAGATAAGCGACGACCCCATCATGTTGGGCATCTGTTTACAAAAAGTGGGTTTATAATAGCCTGCTTCCTCAAGGAATATAGACGGTTTAAGTGAGCGCCCGTGCTGTCTGTTTTTTTCCCCCCTCGGTGTGGTTGTGATTTTGGCGCAGTTAACTTTTTAATCCAGAAATGCAACAACTAGACCAACAGCGAGTTATACAAGAGATGGCATGCACGAAGAGACAGACGAGGCCCAGCACTATATATGTCCACTACTATTTCCCTGTCACAAGACTTTATCACGCTTTCCGAGCAACGAATGTCTGTCGACATTCGGTTGCCTCCGGTAGAATACTTAGTTGTTTAGATGGTACTGGATATCGTGCATTATGTATTAGGGCTGGGCATTACCGTTCAATTTCACGGACTAAGTTATAGTTGCGTGATTTCGTGGATTTCAATGCCACGGATCTGGAATGCAGACTTGTAGCTTGAGACCCGGTGCATGACAGAAGGTACTTCATTCTAGAAGCGCGGACCGGTTGCCTCAAACCAACATCGAATAGAAGAACACTATATGCACATGCTGCGTCTTCGTGCATGGCAGCCTATAGCTTGTGAACACTAAACAGGCCCCGCGATTGGTGTCAGAACAATACTGAGCAGAGAATATAAGTGGTACAGAAAGCAGCGTTTTTATTAGGTCACCCTAAATACAAGATGGCTTACCTAGCTGGCGCAGCACTATGGAGGTGAGTGCAAGGATAGCAGCGAATACTGAGTACGGTAGTAAGGAAGAGACCATCACAAGGATAGCTGGCACCAGCTGGTGCGTTCCACGCTAATTTCTACTTGTATACGTTGACGTTGTATACGTTGAGGATTTAGGTGCACGATAAAGGCCAAGCTGCCGGCTAATTTTTCAAGGTCAATGGATCTCAATTAAGATCGCTGGGTATGTTCCTTTGCACATTTTCTTCATTTATGCCAAATCACAGGCTTGAGTGATTCACTGATCGTTTGCAAATAAATTTTAAAGTTTGCCTTGAAAAACTCACCTCGCTTGCCAGAATTATTGTCAACACTGTCAGCGTGACGTCATGTTTGGCATGTCAACGGAAGTGGCCGCTACAGCATTTATTGTACTTTCCACAAGGCGACGGTGGTGGTGTTTGGTACGGGTATATCATGGGAATGCTTTCTTCCTTCCTCTGCGCTGTTTGGCTGGTGCTTCGCTGGACTGGCTTTCACAGTTTTCATACTCCGTGCCAGCGGAACCAGTATAGTACGTCATACGCAGACAGGGCGCTCGGTTTGATTTCGGTTTTGGTATCGTACATTTTTGCTTATTAAAATTATTTTCAAATTTCCTTAGCATTTCAGCTATTGGGCTCGTGAGAAGAGTGTTTCAGGAACATAGAAACACCATAACCTTGACATGGTGAAAACGTCGCCGTAGTTGGCCTTTAAAGAACCACAGCTGGTCGAAATTCCGGGAGCCCTCCACTACGGCGTCTGTCGCAATCTTATGGTGATTTTGGGACGTAAAACCCCAACAACCATTATTGTTATTATTATGTATACGCTGACGCCCCCTTTTATGCGTCGGCTAAACGAGATACCTATGGAAGTGGCGAAGTCGCAGAAATTTGGTCGCTGGTCACGTGTTGCATTCGGACTTCTATATAAAATTTACGCTTCCCAAGCATGTAAGTCGTAATCACGGTGAAGGTACCTGTTTTTCAAATGATTCAATCAATGTTCGCTGCGTTACAAATATTGATAGATCGCCGTATGAATTATGCAGGCATGTTTGATACGCTTCCAACGAATCTCTGGCATCGAGTGCATTGGCGAACGACTCGGCCGAAGATCATCACCATCATCAATTTGCTTTGTTTATTTATTCACTCTCCACCATCACCCTTCTTTTTGATCACGTCACGTGCGTCATATATACTAAATATAATCAAGTGACTGTTCTCTTAGAGCGTAGTTCTATAGCCGAGTAACAGTATTTGGGCAAGTTGGTCCTTGGGCATTCTTTTTTTGTGTCATGTTCCTGCGCAGTTTTGAACCACGAGTTCTGGTGTAGTTGCGCTCGTCATGAGACAGGAATGACTAAAAACAAAAGAGAGCATGGAGGACAGGTAGTGTGCAAACTGTTTCTTTACGTAAATTCATTTGCGCACTGCTTGTCGAGTTTTCCTCGGACCTTATGGTGTTTCGCGCTTTTCAGTCAGCGCAACTGCGTTGTAATGTCTTACCAATTAGACCAAATTGAAACTTTGCTAGGGTGTATCTCCTGTAGACAGTTTTATGACGCAGGGGCTGTGCTGGGGCTCACGCCATGATGAATTAAGGAAGCCGCCCATCACGGGCGAAGACGATTCGACATTATCGGATGAACACTTTCACCCGCATGGCCGATTAGCGAGATTGCAGAGCGTACCTGTGACGAGCAGTGCGGCGGTCATGCTGTGCTGTCCGTGCGCGTTGGCCGCGACGCAGGTGTAGTTGGCCACGTCCTCCGGCTGGACGTTCTCGAAGGCCAGTATGGACATGACGTCGGACGGCCGACTGACGCTCACGCGAGGCCTTGGGACGAGCGGGACGGCGTCCCTCAACCACGACAAGGTGTGTGGTCCCGCGCTGCCCCGTTTGACGGCGCATGTCAGCACCACCGAATCACCCAGTGTCAGATCCGACGAGAAGCTGAATGACTTTATCTGGGGAGGTGAAGCTGGAAGCGGAGAGGGTGTGCTTGTACACTGCAGTACAATAGGCGCTAGATATCATAACAAATGTTGCTGTGCAATTTCGTAATTGGTTCCATATTTGGTAGCTTTTTGTGTTTCTGGCGTAAAGTGATATTGTGTATAGTGGATAAATGTTTCCAGTAGAATTAGGCAGAAAAAAAAAACAAAAGAAACGGACCTTCTGCTGAATTTAGCTTCACCAACAGTCCCTTCCTCAACTTAACGTTCCATCGAAGACTACTATATGGATTAGGACTCTCACGACGTGCTCTTTCTTTTTTAGCCAGTGCATGCTATAACAGCTTAGTGCACTTGCTGTATTCAAGTAAATAACATATGGCTTTTCTATAGAAACGGAATTTCTGACGCTTTGTCATGCATTCAGCCAACAACTTCTATTTGTTTCACTGTCCTGTAGACTTGCAGCTAATAACCAGCTTGTTTCGGTCGGCGATACATTATTTTCAAACTGCCTCACAATAAAATGATATTTTTTTGTATATGTATGAAGGCTGTCTAAAAACTCATTGAATCATCATCTTGTATCCGAGACTGTATAGAAATTAAACCATTCGCAGTGTTCAAATATAACGGCATACCTTTAGTGCGTTATTTATGGTTCGGCGTTCGCACAGTTCGCGTTCAATGTGGATCGCTGTTTAAAGCCATTCCTCGCATTAGATTTGCACTCTGCCGGAACAAAACTGCTGGTCGACCAAATTTTTGTTTTATATTTTCACCTCAAGATTGTCGAAAATGACCGGGGCTTTTTAAATGGTCCGGCAACGTGGTCTCTTTTTCCTGCGAATGCCACGGAGTGCTCACGATTCAAATTTTGAGTAATGTTTATTCGGCGTTAGTTGTTTCCTTCGAGTACTAATATGAGTTTGAGAATTCCTTTAGCGGGACGGCTCAGTGCTCTCCCATAGTTGAGTACGAAGTACTCGAAATCGTTAAACATTATTTTCTAAACACACAGTTGTTTCCAGTACTAGCGAGCTTTTGGAAGGCGCATCTTCAGCAGCTAAAGCATCGGTGCTAGCACGAACTAATGCTCCGCGGTAACGTTCCTCATTATGTACTAAAAGTTTCTTCCCAATTTTACGGATGTCACTCTTAAACGCTCTCGCGGCTGTTGGCACACCAAGTCAGTTCAACTTTCCAAGGTTATTCAGTTTTTTTCTTAATTTTTTTCTTTCATACCTCAATGCGTAGGAACGATTGATAGATGGAATTGTTATGCGCTGCTCGAACTCATCCCGTTGTCCTGCAAGTTTAACTTCATCCTTCATTTTTATTTCATAAATGCACTTCATTACCTGATCTAAAAAAAAACATTCGTCGGTGATTAAATTCGAATTCATCTTCCACAGTTCCCACAAAAACTTTCACCTTTTATTTTATCTCCAATATCACATTTAACTATAAACAACGATCATTGAAGGAAATTGGGTAGAAAGCATAGGTCTTACAGCGTGCGACTATTTCAAGCGACACGTAAATGCGATCTAGGCGAGCATGGCTATTCCCCTGAATTTGCGTGAAATGCATTTCTAGCAACACAAGGTTATAGTCACGGAAGTTCTGGCCAGCGTGCAATTGATGAGTGTTCGTTTTTTTCGACAGTCTACCTGTGGTCTCTTCGAAACAAAAAATCTCAAGGATTTCCTTGACAATGTGCTGTTCATCTCGATCTATACAGAGTGCTATATATACTGCATGCAAGAGTGAGAAGTTACTTCAACGAGGTAAGAAAATGCAAGCAGCTTCAAATGCAAAAACGTTCTTTCTGGAGTTACATACCGGAACACTTTCTGTAAGAACCTTTCTAGAGGAACGAGTTTCTTGTGTTTTTTTATGCCATGGGAATCTGATTATCTTGTCCCCGTGTTTGACGTACAGTCGCAAATGATAAAAAAAAAAAGATTCACAGTTTAGTGTCATTGTGCTGGGATCTAAAAGTCACTGAAAGAAAACTTCCGTTCACAGTATGTATCTTATGTTAAAATAGTGAAAACAACAACAAGAACAACAATTAAACAAAAGAAAAACGACGCACTATAGGGTCACCCGCTTACGTCTAGTAATGTCTCTCGAATTTCTGCAGTGTGGGCGGGGATAACAAGGTATTTCTGTAAGCTGGTGTTAGTAACAGAATGCTATCGATGCAACTAAGAACGTGAAGCAGCATATAGAACACGCAGAAACGATACATAGGTAAAACGAAGTGCAATGTGTTAATGTGCTGTGCGTATATATTGTTGGTTCATAGGCCTTCACAAAGGTGGCATATCAGTGTCTGTTTTAGGCTTGTTACTTATCTCCTGCACGGGCCGATCCAGAAAGGTGTTACGAGCGTCGAAAGCCTGACTCGCTCCTGTTCAGTTTTCAGTTTACAAGCTGACTATTGGTGTTCACGCCTCATACGCAGCTTTCAATGATCTGAATGCCCCCTTCCCCACAGAAATCTTGTGTCCGCCTCTCTTCCTTGGCGGGCTTCTCAAGTATGTGACTTGTTATATACCCAATGTATGTGACTTGTTAGCATGTACTCAATGTCCTCGCCGCCCTGAAATTCAGCTGCACCATTTTTTTAGTTCATTATTCGTATATTGGTATTCATTTCTGTTTTGTATGTGTAATGATGACATAGATAACGTAATCTGGATAGAACGAGTTTTTTTCAGATGGAAGTATGTTATTTATCGGCTAGTACCCTCGAAGCAGATACACGTCGTTGCAAGAGATATTGACTTGACAGTCCAGCCAATTTTCTGGGTTTATTCTATAGAAATTCGCGCTAGGATTTACAGCAGCCGCAAAAAGCACGGCCCCAGAACACATGAAAACGTACAAAAACAGAATAAAAGAAATATTGTGCTATATTACAAATGGAATAATGGAAAATAGCCAATTGTGGCGGTGAGATTTCCGAAGAAAGTTAATTATCTGTGTCACCAGCAGAGGCGTATCCAGAAATATTTTTCTGGTAGGGGTTGAACCATGCTTTATGTGTGTTCGAAAGTGCGTTAGTATGTGTGCGTCCATGTTTACGCAAACAGACATTGAAAAGTTTTGAAAGAAAAAAGGTTCTAACCCCCCCCCCCCCTCCTCCACCAACACTGTGGCTACGCCAATGGTGACCACCCTAACTAATGTTGGGCGAAGCATCTGACCTGTCGCGTAGAATTGAGGGTAGGGCAGAGTGAGGTAAGCGCATTTACTACAGGGAAACTTCGTTTATTTCGTCGATAGATTTAATTGTGGCTTCCGTCATTCGCTACTTGAGTATACCTGTCTCAAAACGAGTGCTACACAGCGCACTTGACAGATGAAATAACTGTGATTAAATTACTTTTTCGTGTAGTGAGTAAAATAGTGAATTACTTTTGTGGGCTGGTAATGTATTAATGTAGTGAAGAATTACTTGACGCAAGTAAATTCGAAAGCAAGGAAATATAAAAAATATACATGAATTATAAATATACATGAATTAAATATACATGAATAAATATACATGAATTAAAATATACATAAATTATACATGAATTGCATGCAAATGACTGAAGTTTCCTGAAGTAGTTTCGAAGTAACATCATTACTTTTCAAAGTTAACAATATTGTAATTACACTAGTTTCAGCAGGCTGTAAATTTTATTGTAACTAGTGGTGTAATTTAACTGCTTGCAGGCTTTTTTTTTTCATCGCTACTACTCAGTAGCTGCCCGAAAAAAAAACTTCGTATTTCTCATGGTACGAAGAATGTAAAATTACTGTTTACTGTTTGCCAAGAGCAAATTGTAGGTGGTAAGAAGAAAAAAAAAAGAACTTCGGTGTACTCACCTTGGCTATTGGTCAGGCTCGCTGTGAGAGAGGTGATCACGAACGCTGAAAACAAGCTTCTCAAAGTGCACATCGCCATCCTACGCAACGCAAGGAGACGTCTAGGCCTCCCGGGCTGCTGTCTTTATGGAGGGCAGGGGCTTTCTGCGGAGAGCGCACCGGCAACGCGATGCCGATCAGCCAACTCGAAGAAATCTTGGCGCGTTAGCGATGAACGAATATTCGCGCCAGAGCTCGGACTTGTGGCGCCGCCTAGACCTTTCGAAAGGCAACAGCGGCGAGCTCGCGCGCGTGGTGCGGTTGCCAGAACGGAAGGACGCGCCGTTTTGGCGCGAAGAACGAATGCGTCAGACCTCTCAGTTGGCCATGTTCATTCGCGTGGTCTGTAGAACTCGAACAAAAGGTACGATCTGAGGTCAAAACATGTAATTGCGCGTAAAACTGCAAACACGACGCAGGGGCGCCCTTTAGTTAGAGTTTTACGCGCTGTTACATGTATTGAAATGAAGCAACTAGCCCAGCAAGCAATTACCCTTGGCTCTGAGGTCGAAGGTATTTCATTGTTTGCTGGAGGGTTTATTAAATCAAAAGAAAACAGAGATATTGCACGTCTGCCGTGGACCCAACAAAGTCGTTCCACTCTTTGAACTGCAGTGAGTGTATACACCAGGGCGGGGAAGAGACAGAGGAGGAAAGCTGTTTAAGTATTATTGACCCATACGCGGCAGTTGACGCTGAACAATGCTTCAGAAAGGGCGGTCAAACAAAACGCCATGATATCATCCATGAATCGCGCTCGTCGCTTGTGACAGGTTGTCCAGAGCAGAGGCGCAGACGGGGTGGCACCGATACTCAGTGTCAATCGTAGTCGTGCGTGCTGGTTTGTATGTCTGCGGGTATAAAGGGTGTTTTAAGAAATGCGTCTAATATTGTTTAAAGATCAGCAAAAATACCCTATTTACTCGCTGTCTTCACAATTACTTTTTCTGTAGCAGTAGCCATATTAAGAAAGTTGAAGACGTCTTTTGAAACAGTAATTGAGAAAGTTAAAATAATTAACTTTTTATTTAGCGGAGTTAGGC